TAATCTTCGATTAAGGCACAATAGCACTATCCTATTCCACTTTAAACAAGATTTCACAAAATAATTGAAAGTCAAAATAAAAACGACACTTTTCCCTCCAAAATGCCCAGAGCGAATAGCGATGACAGTGTTTTTTTTTTATTAAGGCTTTGGCAAAGCCATCAGCCTAAACATGAAGTTTAAATATGTTTCTGTAAATATGGCCGCCACAAAGAGGATAGGCAATTTGAGGCGGCGTGCTTGGATTGACTCGGGATTCCTTAAAACGGGCCGATACGGATATTTTAGTTCGAGATTCGTATAAGTTCGCGTTTTAATCTTCTATTAAGACACAATAGCACTATCCTATTCCACTTTAAACTAGATTTCACAAAATAATTGAAAGCCAAAATAAAAACGACACTTTTCCCTCCAAAAGGTCCAGAGCACGATGACAGTGTGTTACACAGTCCACAGACACAGAACACTATATGGTGTTACCACATCAAAATGTATTTCATAATGTTGCAAATAGCAAAAATTTTTACCAAATTGCAATCAAGTACACCTTAGTGTCAAGAGATGGCGCTGTCCATTGTTTTCTATTCGAACTTCGTTTACGCCTGCACCCTTATGCACCAGAAAACTTTTGGGAACTGGAAAAAATATCTTAACTTTAATAAAGAAAATATAACTTCTAGTTAGATATTATGCAGATGTTACGACAATACTGACAACTAAAATGTACCGTAAATTGGTAGATTAGCGTTCGATGCGTTAAAAATATTAGTAACCTATATAAATATAGTCCCACTGCTGGGCACAGGTTTTCTCTCATGACTTGAGCTGTAGTTCCCACGCGGGCCCAATAAATGCAGATTGCAAACTTCACACACAACGCTAAATTTCTTGGCCGATGTGTGCAGTTTTCCTCACGAAAAGTTTTTTCTTTCAATACCTAGTGTTTTCCTTCATCGAAAAAGTCATGGTAAGAGTTAAATTAAATTTCGCTATTATATTCTATTATAATTCGCTATTATAATGTCGTATACTATTCGTCTAAAAGAAATCTCGGTACAATGAGATTTTTATGTCTTTAAAATGGAAGTCTCTCCTTCGTAGAGGAACATCTTGTGGCAGAAATTCAACGAGTGATTTTCTATTTAAGTGACCAAGTAGGTATCTCTAATATTCCTTTATTTCAATCTATAACTAAATTGGTCTTCTTCAGCCATCGAGGTAATCGATGACTGCAGCTGTGACTATATACTTATCAATATTATGTGTGTATACGGTAGAGATACGCTACTATCAATGCACCGTCGTGTATCATTTAGAATACGCATGCGCTGAAATCTTGACGCCATTTTCACTTTCACTGCAGCCGGACGTGTTTTGACATATCTAAATGTCCACCGCGTTTGAACTAATGTGTTCTTGACACGAAATGTGTAATATTCGGGAAATGGAGTGCCGTGAGAAGTCCCCTTTATGATACACACAGTTATGTACGTGAATAATTGAAAGGAACATGGTAAGTCGTTACTAAGTAATTAGTTATTTTACCAAATTGATGCTTGTCAATTGTTTAGTATCTATTCTATAATGTAAGTAAGGGCTTATAGTTAGTGTTTTCAAGGAAACTGAAGTAGGTATTTTGATATCTTTTAAGTCAATGTTACTAAGCGGTATATCGGAAAAGATAAGACGGAAATAAAGCTTCAGAATTTTCCCTTTATTCTAATGTTATTTCATTCTTGCTTTTATGGAATAAATAAATATAACTCAAAATTAAATCTGAGCAAAAATAAGTCAATAGTGAGATGTAAAATTAAGTCCTTTTAGGTTTCTCTAAAAGACACGTCGCAGATATATTATGTAGTTTCTAAAGATCCCGTATTACCCAAAAGAAGACAGCTGCTCTATTTATTCTTCCATTACTTAGTTAAATGCCTAATCTTATTCAATACTCATAATATACACTCCCGGACACATAAATCGAGCCATCTTGCATTTTTATTTTTCAAGTGCTAGAATAAAATTTGTTTTATTACAATTGAAGCAAGAGTTTTTCCCGATTTCGCAAATTCAAATTTTCAGCAAAACCTTTTGAAATTGACGTTTAGTACACCAGTATCAAACTTCAATTAGTTATTGAACAATCAAACATTATTTAAGGTAAGGATATTTAATACTGATAATGCAAAGTGGCTCGAAATATGTGTCCGGGAGTATATTTTATTATTATAGTATTTTATTATTTTTATACTTATTTTATTTCATTTATTTATTCTAAGTTATCGCGAATTTAAGTGTCATGCACTTTGTAGGTACATGGGGTATGAAATTGCGGTACGTTGCTAGGCAACGATCAGGGGCTTGAACCCTCTGGACCGGGCCTCCCTCGATTGCCTATCTCACTGTACGGAAATTACATTTTGCTTCCGTCCTCTGGGTCCTACCTAAGTGTAATGAATGATGCATTGACTTACAAATAAATGGACGACGGGACTAATACAAAAACCACGATAAAATGTCCCAAGTCAACCTATTTAAACGTAGTGACATGTAAAGGAATATGAAAAAGCTAAAACGTTGAATTTAAATTGTAATGTCATCGCAGTACTGTCTAATTTTGCTTGCTTCGCTGTCAGTCGAACAAACGAAGACTAAAGCGTGAATGACGCTCTGTATACGATTTTAATGCCCTATAAGTTCGGACATTTTTTAGCGCGGACCCGACGTCCATATAATTGTAAGTCAATGGAACGATGAGTGAATTGTCGCTACTTGTAAAAGGTACGAGTCCATGGGCAGGGATTTTTTTACATTTGAAATATCAATGACAACGTAAGAGATTTGTGATTAAGTTTCATTGTAATAAACACGGCAGTAAAAAAATTTTTACATCATTTAACCTCCACTGGGTTCAGAGAGTAACGAATCAATAAATAACATACTAAACTTACGTACAATATTTCCATTTTTGTTAAGATGGACTTTCGCAAAGTATGGCCTGATCCTATTAATTAATTTCCATTATATTTGCAAATTTGCAAAAACAGACTTTGGTGTTCTCATCTGTGCCTACAAACACAGACTTTCACGCAATAAAATCAACAAAAATATTTGTTAACGAGATATTTGTATTTGTTGAAAGTAGTGCTAAGAGGATAATAGTGCTAAATCCGGAAAATAGTTTCAATTCCTAGTAGTGCTAAGAGTTAAAATTACTTGTCTTGATAGTAAAATGTCAAAAGTTACTGCGAATCAGTCAAACTTACGTACAAAACACAATTCTACCATATTACATTAAGGTTTAAAAATCATTTAACTCTTCAATAGCTAAGTAATTTGTAGGTACTTCTTTCGTTCTTCACGTAAACTGCATTGTTCCATAAAATTATGGAGTAGGTAGTATTATTATTGTTCTCCTTATTTCTTAACCAACTCTGTTATTCCCGGACCGAATCATTGAATAGCCTAATAATTCACGAATGTCTATGTGGTTAATTGTGAACTTACCCCTCACAGAGTCTGCAATAATACGTCGCTCCCTAACTTATTGGACTCTTGTAGGAAACGTATTGTTGTCACGAGAAACGTTATTCCGTTCTAATTACACATAAAGACGGAATGAAACAAAGGAGAGTAATCGTTCCTAGCCTTGTAAACCCTGTATTTTAAATGTACCTACTCCGACTCTTTATATTGTTATCTTGGGACTGCTTTATATATGAAAGGTTTAGTTTACTACATCATAGAGTCTCCTCTAAGACGACCTCTGTGGTCGAGTGGCTACACACCGATTTTCACAGTGTCTGAGGTCCTGAGTTCGTTGCCCGGCCGGGTCAATGTAGAAAAACTTTTCTACATTGTCTCGGGTCTTGAGTTGGAACACAAGTGCTTTAGTTACTTACTTTGGGGATCGGAGCAACGTATGTGATGTTGTCTAATATTTATTTATTTATCCTGTCCGCTCTTCGATGAAAATCTTTAAAAAAGCTATTTACCATAATCGCACAACAATTCGGCAAATTAGAAATAGCTAATAGATTTAAGTTTGAAATTAAACCTAATTCACAGATTGAGTACTACACAGATTGCCAGCCAGGTGATTAATGTATGTTTCTTGTTTCAGGTATATCATAATAAAGTCTAAAAAGAATCAACAAAATTACGTGCCTTATGATCTTCCTCTGTATCTCTACATTTGTTACATACAGTAGATAGTAGTTCTTCCAAGTCCACATCTTATATTGTATTGCACGTCCAATCCAACTAACAGTCCCATTAATTCTGTCCAATATATTTTCAAATTTAACCACTTAAGAGATAGGCAACGAGTGTCAAAAAATTACTAAGCCTGAGGGTTAAATTTCAAGAATAAAGAAAATTATATTGTCCATGATATGTGTGTCCAAAATTAAGTGCCATAAAGTAGTGTATAGCAGACTAAAATTATTTCTTTAGTGACTGTAGACGGAAGTTGCAATGAAGTTTAAGTATTTTATCAGTGTTAATAAGACAGATTAATGTTGAATTTTATGTGTAAATCCGAAGTTTCTTATGAACTAGCGACAATAACGGTGTGAAAATGCGAACTTATTGTGAAGAGTAAATATTTGGGTCGCGTGGATGGTGGAGGTAAAATGTCGGTGTGGGTGGGAAGTGGCGGTGGCGAGGTACGCCAGCCCGCCGCTACCGCCACGCTCATGTCGACGAACACGTCTATGGAGTCAGGCATTGAAGCCGGCGTCCTTCCAACGGTTACAGGATCTCTGGCCTCCGCCAGAGACTCTTTGGGCTCATTATCCCGCGCCGCCGAACCTCTTTATGACACTGATCATACGGATTTGGGTTCAGAACTTGATGAGGCAGAGATTCGAAGAGAGTTGATGCATGACGTAAGTCCAATTATTACTGGTACATTATTATTATTGCTGGTGGTATGTGATATATGATGCTTAAACAAAGAAATAATCAGTACACAATGAAAGATATATTATAATTTTTATGGTATCCGATTTTACTAAATCAAAGTGTTGTAGTAAGTGGAGCTTATGGTAGAAGATATGCTTCGTAAAATTTTGCTTCAATGGAATGACACATCATGTCAAACTTTATGAACTATAGTAATAACTGAAATCATATCATATTATAATAATTCGTTAACAGGGTAAACCCTCACGAATAATGGCGAAAGGGCGTGGCGCCATTGTTTATTATTTATTACTATTAATTTTTGTTAAATTCATTATTGTATGGTGCACAATGGATAAAAAGTCACCAAAAATAAAAATACACTATTTAACGGAAAATAATACAAATTTGCTCAAAACACAAACTTAAATAACTTACGCCAAAAAAATTTGGATTAGTTGATCGACTCTATATTGTCAATGTGTCCCAAGCAGTGGTCATACAAATATTTCTCCCGGCACGGGAATCGAATCCGGGACCTCTACGTGGCAGTTCGGTATGGTAGCTGTTCGGCCACTGAGGCAGGTACAATATTTGATAAATACATTGTACCTATCTATCCCAAATACCGTCAATTTTTAACGTACAGGGTGAAGAGCACGTCAAGCTTGACACTTATGACTTAAACCCAATTCTACGCCGCTTACGATAAGAACGATCCAAAGTACAAAGTATCAAGCTTGACGTGCTCTTGACAAGTGATTTCCCGAATCGTAAGGCAGTCTCCACTTTTTGTCTCTGTTTATCGAAGTTTAGGTAAATAAGTTCTACCTATTCCGATCACTGGACTCCCAAAACAAACATTTTTTCCGTTGATTTTAGTTAGTTAATAATACTTCTTAGTGAAATAACTTCAACATGACTACAATATGTGATGAATCAATGATTTTTGGATTTCAATTACTGTATTTTGTAGGGTGGTAACATAAATATATGTTTATGTTTGAAAAAGTATAATTTGTGGGACGCTGCTACAAAACGTGCTGGTCTGTCATTGTATACAAGCTATGAGAGTATAAATAATTACTATTTACAGTCATTGTACGAGTCACAGACCACATTGGTATGAGCCATGAATAAACTTTTTACTTATTATTTCAGAAATGGCGCCTCCTTTTCGACAGGGTAAGTTTACGTTTAGATTTATCACGTAGTATATTGGTTATATTGGTATGATGAGTAGATGTTTACATAAATAAGTAAAAAAAACAGTATATAAATAGTTATTCTATTTTACGGTTAACGAATATTATTCAAGGGGTCGTAGTGGCAATGGTAATGGTAACGACAAGCTCCGTGGTCGAGTGGCTTGAACACCGATTTTCATGGTGTCTGGTGCCTCTGATTTTGGTCAGTGTAGAAAATTTGTATATTGTCTCGGGTCTGGGTATTTGTGGTACCGTTCGTTGTTTCCGATTACCATAACACAAGTGCTTTAGTTACCTACTTTGGTAACTAAAGCACTTGTGTTGGTTTCGATCAGAGCAACCTATGTGATGTTCATTAATATTTATATTTATTTATAATGGTTCGAATTTTAACCCCGCATAATTCATAAAACCTATTAAAACTGTCGTTTTACGATACGGAAACAAATTTCAGAGAATTTGATTTTGCCTTTGACTGATTAAAATGTACAGGAGCGAAGTATAAAGTTTTATAAAAGCAGATAAAGAGAAGCGGTAGCGCCGCGCATCAAACAATGTGTTGTCACGTACGAAACATTGAGATAATGCGAGGTAGGAGATAGGGGCGCTTAAGTTTTTTGTTCCATTCTTTTTGGAATCGCACGAACTTACTGCATTAATAACACACTGTGAAACCATACGATTACGACCGCTACGTTCGGGTGCTCTCTTGAAATCATAATTAAGTTGAAACACATGAACTGTACGTGACCGTAACGAAATAACGCTGATGTTGAGATTAAGTAATTAAATGCATATTTCTTTGCAGTTTGATCCGGAAGGCTTTGGCGAGATTCCGTGGCCAGATTTCATACAGACTCTTAGACACCCAGATTTTATAGCACAGGTGCCTCCTCACAAATTAGAGGTAAGGTGACTATCATAGTACGCAATAAATACCTGTATTATAAACAGATACCATCTACATAATGGTCCCATTTATAATCGTTCAAATGTTTCTTGTAGATTCTACTTGACAAAGCTCTAAATGCAACGAGTGACGCTATCACATTCACGGAGTTCGTCAATGTGGTGAGTGTTTTACATACTGTACTTACGTAAGAAACAGCTAAAATCGTAATACATATTTTAGGTAGAATGTACCTTAAAAATGCACCACAATAGGTAAAATTGTATTTAATTTATATCTTTACGGTTAGAACCCTAAATTATTCACAATAGCCTACATTACCCACCCAATTAGGTCCATAAATTCTTTTTTACGGTCACGTGTAATAAATGCAGCAACGTATGCGTCAGTGTACCGGCGTCCTTTACCTTCACAGTGGGTTAGGTTATGTCCCACCGCGCGCCTCCCACAGATACAAGACAACTAAATTAAGATGCAACGCCGATTACGCTCTGGACACTCGCGTCAGTAACCTTCCAAGCCTTCAAAACCAATAAACACGGGTAAAAAGTTCGAAAGCCGTCTCGCCTTGTTGTACACATGGGAAGGTAACGCAAACGGAAAAGTTAATTCCTACTCATCTCTCTCACCAAAAGGACCCACGTCCTTATCGGGTTCTTTCTGTCGCGTCTCGAAAGACGATAAGGTCCGCCACGATTTATTAGGTGGGCATTTATTTTTGTATGGTAAAATATATTATCTTAAATGCATATTAACACTGAGCACTGTCGTTTTTATTTTGATTAAAACATTTTTCACACAAGTATCTAAAGAAAGATAGTTCCTATATTACTTTTTAATGTTTATGTATGTTTTTCACCAAAGCTAGAATAGTTCTGTAAATGATGAAAGGCGATTTCTTGTGAGAGCCATGTGTCCCTTAGAGTATACAAATGCAGAACTCTTTGTTAGCATATCGAATGGGCTTAATTAAACAGATACCTTGGTAGCGAGTACTTAGGCTGTCGTAATTATTACACGTTCGAAATGGTCTTTAATTAAATAAATATTGGTATTTAATTTTTACGTGTGTACTGGAAACAACGTAGGCAGCACAGTTTGCTAAATGACACCGCCTATGAGTGCATTTACCATAACAAACAATACAAGTTTTCTATGAAACTATCAAAATAAAACCAAGTGTTTATAAAAATTTATGAGCTGTTTAAAATAATTAGATGATCCTCATATATCACTTTAACATACCAATGTGCCAAATGCAAGGGCATCCTCAATTAATGATTATGCGGTTTTTATAACAGTACATACTTATTTTATTTTTTGTCCACATTATTTACATTGAAGGATCCTAAGAAGCACTTTATGTCACCTTAACGTGGGTCGTGAAATATGACCACCCGTCGACTCTTCGCTTTTATTAATTAAGTTATTAATTCAATTGGACATTTGAACCTTAATATTCTTTTATAAGCCTTTTGGCTGAAACTTATACCTATTTAATACGCAGTAAAGGATGCAAAATTTAGCCAATAGTATGAACTCATTCTCATATTTAAATTTCAAATGAATGTTAAATTCGAGCAATGCGTCTGTATAGGTACATGTACAGTTAATCCCACAAATTTTAAGTTTATTGAACTAATGCTGCGGCAAAAACATACATGGCACGTGATGGTACGATGACTTTTCAAGTTACATCCTTGCTCGAGTCACTCCTTAGGTCGCTTTAATGTTTTGCGTACAATTGTGTGGATCGTCGTAAATCAAAATTAAATTCGACGTATAAAGAGACAACGAGGGACAGTGGAGGCTCGTGGGCGTCCGTGATGCGGCATTCTTATGCTAATCCGGAGCACATTCGAACGGGGTGGGCCAAATTGTTATTTATATTGTCACCTTGCGCTTTTTTGTTTGAACCAACACTCTTGGTCTAAATTATCAATTGCCACTCCTGTAGGTACGTACTGTTGTGAAAAACATTATTCTTATATTTATATTTTCGCATTCAATATAATAGTCGAAACACAAACATACTCGTTTGTTTCTTAAAGCTATTGTTATTTGAAAAAGATGGTAAATTCTCGATGTCTTCCCTAAAGAATGACCTCAATTGTATAAAAAAACATCAACGGAAAATAGAAGAAAATAAATTTCATCCACAGGCCCATGAGCTCTTATCGTTTTATTATGAAAATATGTTTCCACTGGCCTAAAGCGAATGATTGATGTTGAAATGCTGACTGGAACAGAAGCTTTTAGGCAAATCGTGCGCCCTCACCGGCCAATTTCCTCACAGGAAATTAGTTCACTCCATTACACAGAATTGGTCGCGAAAAGATTGCCTGGATTTTGTCCCCTCTATTAAGCTGATGTCTTTTTAGTATTGAGTTGGATTTCCCTTAATTTAGTAGTGTTATACTTTGGATGCCATCGATACCTGTGTCTTAACACAAAAAACTTTTGAGCATCGCCGCGGACCCTTAATCAATTTATGGGGCGCTAACTGGAACATGGAAAATGTATTAAAGCTTGCTGTGGGAACGAGCCACATGCCAAACAATTTATGAAATGGTCATAATGTTTAATTTTAGCCTTTAACAATGCAGCAATGCAGAGAATTTTGGAATTAATCTTTATAAATTATTTTGATGTGTCTAAACTCATAAAACGCTTATCACATTCAGTGACTAAGTAGTATTTGTGTATATTTTACTTCTCGAGGTGATATGTAGGTAAACGTTTTCATGCAACATATCTGTTGAATCATCTTTTAGAAGCTCACGGTGCGTCACAAATATCGCATTCTGGAAACAAAAGCAATAATTTAATAAACACACCTCAATCAAAATTAATAGCTTTCCGCATTAATCTCTTTATCTTTCCGTACCTACAAAACAACATGTTCGGCCGTTCTCCGAGGTAATGGAAGCAATCATTCCAGATAAGATCCCTCTAATGTGAGAAAAGGTAGACGTTCGGTTCGGATCGTTAATTTAATTCGAAATAATAAAAGTTATTGGTAATATCCATCATTTATCACTTTCGACAAATTTATTTTTAAATGCTCACTTTGGGGTCCTTCTTATCTGTGAATGGCCGGCAGCGTGGGGGCAAAAATACGAAAAGGCAGGTTATAAATAGGCGTAGGCGTGCCGCTGTCAGCAAGGCGTCAAGCCTTCATTAATTCGAGGTGGCAATGGTGGACGTCGCGCTGCGCCGGCGCTGGGGCATGCCACCACTGCCGCAGGCGTGCACGATCCTGGTTGCGGGCGCAACTTGTAACCCTTACTTTACGAAGATTATATAATTCTAGGAATACTTCAAGACTTGACCTTTTAAATTTTCTTTAGTAAATAATTACAACGAAGTTGTAAGAAATGCACGCGATCTTAAGATGTTAAGGTTTCTGTGCAAAAAGTGTAAAACACTTGGCAACTAAGTATGTAATATTCTCAATACTGGACATGAACAACTGATCGAAGTGATGAGGGGCTGGACAGGTCTTGAATGAAGCCACCCTTCCTCTTCTTCATATCGTGTCGACGTCATACAATATGCTATTGTGGCCCAGAACTCAGAATTAAATCGTCAAGCGTGTAGGTATTAGGGCATGCAGGGCACGAAGTGAAAAGGGCTATCGCTTGAATTGCGCTGCACAATCCAGGTTACAACTCTCTGAAAATCCCCACCTGAACAAATTGTCCTTACCTCGGCCAGCCCGAAGCCTATTAAAGGACTTCCAGATCAGCTATGGCAATTTGCAAGTTGGCAAGTTTGTGCATAGGATGCCGAGTGTCGACAGCCAATAGCCCGCTACAGTTTTGCGGATGTCTGGCGGAAATGTGCTAGCCAGTGGATACTGCAATCTTACCGAGATCGGCTTAACATAACCAGTTATGATCCGGCAGGTCTCATTTAAGACTGTATCCACTAACTTTGCATCGTTAGAACGACTCCAAACAGGGCACGTGTATTCGCCAGCAGAAAAGGAAAAGTGTCAACCCAGTAGTACGCATGACCTGTGGCGAAAGCTCCCCACTTGGTGGCGATCAGACGCTGCAGTAAATTATTGCAGGAGTGCACTTTCTTGTTGACACTATCACAGTTTTTACTGAAAGTAAGCGATCTGTCCAAATACACGCCAAGATTCTTTGGAAGTTTTTGACCTGCCTGGCTGACGATTGCGAAGATGGAAGATGTAGGACTCAGTTTTAGATGGGTGAAGCCTAGCGAATCGAGTTTTCTTTATATAGTAGTGACCCTTAATGGAGACGTGCTACGACGGAGTTAGATTCAATTGAAGAAAGTGTATCCAATATATTAAAAAACTAAAAATTGGACTGATATTATCTGACTAGTATATATGTCAAAGGCAATTTGGAGCGGGTACCCAATTCGTTAGCAGGTCCTGTCGAGGGCGCATTCCTCAGGCGAGTAGGTTTTCGTGTTCGGACTGAGGTCCGTCCGTAACTCACGCGTATCGGTGCCATCTAAATTGAGATTTTATTGACGATTACTGTTCTAGACGGTATCGTTGCGATCTTGGCGCCTGTCGGACCGCGTCGCTGCTTTGATCCCACCCCTTGATGAAACACTACGATTCCTAAAAAAGTAACCTGACTTAGCATCAAACTAAGAGGACAAACAATGAGATAATATAATTAAAGAACTTTTAAGGATTGATATTAATGTCTAATTCGTACGTAATATGTATAATAAAAATAGGTAGCCGTCTCGATGGGAAATCAAAAATTAGGTTATTACATAAATGACGACCTTGGTAGCCTAGCGAATTTTTTGAGACCAAGTAATTATTAATTGGTTTGATTACGACACATTATTATTCAAACATTTTGTTCAAAATATGTTTAGAATGGACACCCAAAAGAAGGTGACCGCATTCCATAAACATTCAACATAAAAAACTATATCTTCCATTTCGCAAAGTTCTTGTACAAAAACTTTGTTTCAGTGAGTAGTCATTACGAGAATATTTGTTAAACAAAAAATGGTAAGGCATTGGCATCCCTCCGTGATAATGTTCACTAGATGGACCTCTAGAGGACAAATGATGATGGTTGGAGGTCGCCGTAGCGAATCATCGAGGGTTGACGGCTCCTAATTTTTTTTATTTACACTTTTTTTCTAAGACCACACCGGA